CAGAAGGGCTGATGTTGCTTGCACTTCACCTGCTATTAGCTTAACGGCTGCACTTCCTCGTTTCTTGCACTTTCCCGGATATTCAGACTCGACCTGTCGATGTCAGATAAACCAGATTAGCCGACTGTCCTATGGATTCACTTAGTAACATCTAGCTTACATGTGCTTGTTCAGATAATTTTCTTAAACAGATCCGTAGGGTTAAATTACATCGATTTTTTTTTTTTTTTACAATTAGTAACCTGATCCACTAAATTTATTCATACCAGCTATTTAAATATAACCGTATATAAAAGCAGGCGTTATTAATCAGTAATTCAGGCTCTGTACCGGGTGCAGGGACCCACAGGAAATAAGATTATTTAAAGATAAAATACATTTAGAGTAAAAAAAATGTTTTTTTTAGTGGTTGCTTTACAGTTTAAAAGACCCCTTCAAAAGGATTTGAGTGGAAATGTTTCTGTTATTTCACAGCACAGGTTTTGTGCAAAAACAGACCCAATATTTTCCTATCAAGAGCATCTTTAACTCGCACAGAAACAGAATATATATATATATATATATATATATATACATAGTTCTATAATAATGTTCTTATTACATTACAAATATGCTACAGTTATTGTACAAATAAATTTCGTTGAGCTGGGGTCAGGTAGGCAGTTTCAGATCTGACTTATTTATATGGTGCTTGATGACTGCTGGATGTCAGACAATTAGCAATCTATATGTTATATATTTTGCTATAGGCTCTGTAGTGAGGCAGAGCATAATGAGGCAAACATCAGAAAATCTCTTCAGTCTAATGGAGACCCAGTGAACTATAACCCTATCTGCTTTTATAGAGAAGCACATAGGGAGGCCGGGTGCCTGGCTGGGTGGGCTTCAGATAGCAGCAGAGGGCTCACGGCCAACCATCTAACTCATGCTGGCTTGATCACTCCCTCACTTATCACAAATACGGGCTCAGCGCAAGTCATGGGAAGCCAGCCGATGCTGCTGGTACACTTCAGCGAGCTGTTTTTTTCTGCAGCTGATGTGTGTAGCAGAGGTTGAGCTCCAACCACAAAATCACTGAACAGGAAAACACTGCACTCTACTGGTCCAAAGGTTGCATAATGCCATGGTTTTACCCTCTTGTGTGGGCAAAGTTCTTATTACTTCTTTTTACTTTCTTAATGCACCACATTACCAGGATTGAAAACAACAGAGCCACAAGAATCGTTTGAGGCAAAATTGTTAAAGGTAAACGAGTCCTGAAAATTAATAAATCATCAAACCTTTGCTTTTCTCCACACACCATTTATATATTTTTGAATAGAGATTCATGAATGTACTGAAAACTTTGTCTCACTAACACTGAGAAATTATTTACCCATAAAATCCCCTGGGTAGAAAATAATTAATTGGAAAAGAGAACATTCCTCATGGTTTTTCTTAAAATCTTTTCCTATTCGCCTTCCTTTTGCTGTGCTTGTTGTGTGTACTTGTATTTCAAGTTATGTAGCGATGCATAAAGCCTGATGACTTTTACCTAAAATATAACACATCAGTTATATAGATGGTACAAATGCAGGCTTTTTCTAATAGAAGGTGCAAAAAAACCCACCAAATATTTTACAGATACTAAATGCTGATCTTTACCTAATACAACATATTTTAAAGGTAATACTGAATGTGTCATGGCACAGTGGCCCGTGGAAATGGGATGGACTCAAGTGCAGTTTCAAAACCGGAGGCTTGAAGTGCGGTGTAACAAAAGAGTCTTTATTCACAACGCTTGGATGCTAACAGAAAACTCAGACTAGCATTAAGGAACGTAAACTAGACGTCTGAGGCAAGAGAAACTATGACCATAACAAAACTATGACTAGATTGCAGGGACAACTGGGTGCAGGGACCAGGTGGGTACTACGTGCAATGCAGGGAGGCAGGCAGGAGAGACTGGCAGTTTGAAAAGGGAGAGGTTACTGGCAGCTGCATACCAGAATCCAGGAGAGCTTGTACAGATGAGGCTTGGTAGGTGGGTTCTAGATGCTGACGAGAAAACAGAGGAATAAGGAAAGTACACATGATGATACACCAAGGAACAGACATGAGGCATAGAACGGACTAAAGTTGGCAGATAATCTGGCAAAGACTAGTTGTGTGCAGGTCATAAATACTGCTGGTGTGATTGCCATCAGGTGGAGGAGCCGATGCAGTGGAAAACTACCCAGACCATGACAGAATGGCTGTTTGAAGTATGTAAAAAAAGTTGTTTTAGAATCCAGTTATCCATAATTATTCCAACTTTTGACTGACTTAATTATTATCACCTAAAAAGTTGTTGTATTAAGTTCTAACTTAATAGTTAAAAAGATTCTATGAACTTGAATATTTTTATTTCTTATCTAAAACTTTCCTTCAGCTGCTCACTTATTCATAAGGTGTCACTACAGCAGATGGAGCCGCATATTTGATTTGGTAGATTTTTACACCATGTACCCTTCCTGACACAACCTCCAAGGGATTTGTGTGTCCTCCCAGCTTTCAACCAGTGAGACTTTGCATGTTAGGCAAAGGTGTAAACCACTAACTCTAAGGACCCACCAAATTGATTATTTAATCTACTTTTTTTCTTTTACAGTTTTTCTTGATTGCTTAAACACATTTCTTGAAACTATGCCTCGTATCCCCAAAACAGTAAACACAAATCCATAATGTCTCACCAAATATCCCAAACATCATATTGTCAGGTCAAAATGAAGCAACTTTTGCTGAAAAACCAAACTTTGCCCACAGACATCACACACAAGGCTTCAAAAACACACACACAACAACATAGTCTTACACATTGGTGCAATAAATGTTAAACAATATTCCCAAAACTGGCAAGTTATGTTGCTTGTGGTTCTTCCCCTCAAAAACCTTTTCACATGATGAACACAAAAGACACAACCAATGTATATAGAGTGGCACAATTTTTATCCATGTACCATACAGTACAACACACACCAAAAACATTATTCCACGTCAGCATCCTGTGTGTGTTCTGGGTCAGGCCAGAGAATCTCATCCATGTCATAGGCTATATTGGCCCTGGCCAGGCAGCGGGGGTAAAATCCTCTTGCATGCCTGATCCACCCCTGGCATGCATCTACTGGTATGTCTAGGCAGGCCTCTTCCATGGCCTGGAGAAGGTGAACACAGACATAAGGTTCTCAGTCGTACACCTTCCACCACCATGCTGAAAATAACTCTTCTGTCGGGTTTAGAAAGGGAGAGTATGCAGGCAGAAAGATGTTAGACAACCTTGGGTTATTGGTAAACCAGTCATGAACCATAGCAGCGCGATGGAAGCTGACATTATCCCAAACAACAACGTAGTGAGGCTGTTCTGGCTGTGCTGGTTCCCTGTAGTTCAGCTGTAACATATGTTGTCTTAGACCATCAAGAAGAGCAAGGAGAAGTGTTATAGGGTCCTAGAATGGCATGGCAGTGGAGTACCCTTCATTGGCTGATGGCTGCGCACAGAGCGATATTCCCTCCACGCTGACCAGGGACATTTACAATAGCTCGATGGCGAATTATGTTCCTCCACCTCCTCCTCCCTGGTGTCCTAGACCTCCTCCTCCTCAACTTTGACCTCTTCATTTGCATGTCTTTGGATCCATTGTTTTAAACTTGAATGAACTGGCTTTGGCCCTTTTATCTATCCATCAAAGTTTCTGATTGGTGTGTGATACATTTCGACTCCTAGTGTTTCCACTTGGCTAATTGTGTGCAAATTGAGCTAAAGCTGTGCTGATGTGAGTTAATATTATTGACTGCTTGTGCTTTCTAAGTGACCACATGGAGTAAGCACTGACAAATGTAGGGATTTGTTTGTAGAGTTTTGTAGAAACAGTTCACCACATCTGACTCATGTGGTAAAGCAGGGGCATAGTGTTTATAGTTCAGGGAAATAGGTGTGCTTTTTGGAAAGTGGCATTATGGTTTTGAAATTTGGGTTCAAAAGATTGGTTATAGTGTTTAAGCAATTGGGAAAAACTAATATTTTGCAGTTGTGAGCCCCTTCAAATTGTAACTTTATAGTATTCACTGTTGTTTCAGAGCATGAGGATTAATTCCTGTCAGGCTGAGGACCGTATTATTCATTAAATTCAACAAATACGATCAAAGAAAGACAGAAAGAGTTAACCACCCAACACCTGTTTGAAAGATAATGGAATCTTCTTTGCCATTAATATTTTCTCGAGTGTCTGGAAAGTTAATCTAAAATATTATCTTTCATTATACTTGTTGTTCTTTGTCAGCACAGATAGGGACAAAAGAGCTGTAAAATCAACTTCAATCTTCAAGGAGACAAAAGAATGATCCTGGAATGAGTATCTAAAATAAGAGATTATGTTTAACTATGTTTAGTTGCAGGTGTGTGAGGAGATGAAGAAAGAATAACACAGCACTGTATTAAACCCAGAGTAAAAGATGGTTTGGGAAATAGTGAAGCCTGCCGAGCTGGTTTGGTAGCCTAGAGTGAAGACTGATGATACTCTGACTGTTCACATGCTCCGAGCTAATAGTTCATATCTTTGTGAAAAGCAGTCAACCAAAAACCTTAGATTTTTCACGAACGTAGTGAAAACAAATCAAGTCCAAGTATGCAAACAAGCTTGCAGCTTGAATGCTGTTGTCATTAAAGCAAAAGGGAGTTTCACTCTCATCTTGTTGACATTATCAGCGGACCAATAATAAGCTTTTTGAAATCAAAACAAATATAAAATGCAATACAAGTGTCTTTTAGATTAAAGCTTATTTAACAGGACTAATTTCATTTCAGGTTATTTTACTGCAGCATAAGCCAAGTTATAAATCTTTAAATTTGATATAACTGAATAATTGACACTGTCATAGGCCCTTATTTTAACAATATATATGCTTTAGATATTTATTATTTACAATAAAGAAACATGTATTCACACCCTTACAAGACTATCCCGGAAATCTGGAGGCAGGACCAGAAGGAGTCACGTGACACGCTCTACTGGTTAAACTTCCTGTTGTCACTTTAGTTAATTATTTCTTTCTATTTTTTTTCCCTTCTAACGTTTTCCTTTACTTTTTAAAATTATAAAGTCGAGTTATAATACGTGGCGTTTATTTTCCTTTGCTAAAGTGTCTCTGAAACGAAGCGGTAATCTAAGGAAGTTTAACCGGTTGCTAATGTTAGCTAGTTAGCTGGCGTATCTTTCCTTCAGTGACAGGTGAAAGCTCGCTCCGTCCAGGCTTACCTTTTACCTGTTAAAACCGTTTTTTCCCTTCGTGCTTTACGTTTGTAGCCTCCTGTAGGTGATCAGTTTACAAATCAGCACCATGGCCGGTCTGCTTTCATTGCATTGTGTCGCCTCTCTCAAGAAGTCCGGGAGTCTAATTCATTTTAGAAGCGCTGGTCTGGGGGTTTATATGAGACACTATAGCAGCAAAAAGGCCTCCTCTTCATCGTCTTCGGAGTATCTGCACCAGAGCGTCGTGCCTTCCATGCATTACCAGAAGAGTTTACCCAGGTAAGGCGTTTTGTGACGAATTTGGACACATTGCTTTTTCATTTTCTCCAAACATGTCGCGCAAACTCAAAAAAAAATCTGTGGTTTCATGTGCACCGGAGATGTCCACCAAACAAAACAAAAAGGTGTCCTGAAATAAAGGTGACCCATTTAGCTTTTAGATCGATGTAGGTAAAAGGGCATGCTTGCGTTAAACTCAGTGACCACTAGAGGGTGACATGAATTATGGTTAATGACGCTTAAAAAGAAAAGGTGTGTGAAAACAGTTCAGCCCAAATTATTTTGTAAAATTCACATACAAACAACATTTTTCTTCAGAGCGTCCATAATTCTCTGTGGTACAGATTTAACAATCAGCGCAGTTGCCTCAAGGCGCTTAATGAGCTTTCTAACACAACACAAAAAAAAAAATCTATTTTAACACACTCAGAAAATAGATTTTGTGCAGGAAACATTATACAGATATTTCAGTCCATAAGATGGCATCACACAGTTGCTGCACATCCATGATGCAAATCTCCCATTCCACAACATCCCAGACCGCTCGGTTAGATTGAGATCAGGTGACTGTGAAGGTCATTTGAGCAGAGTGAACATGGTGCTTTATACTCCTGGAGGCAGCCATCAGAGGATGGGTACACTGTGCCCAGAAAGAGATGGCCATGGTCAGCAGTAATACTCAGGTACGCTCTGGTGTTTAATCAATGCTCAGTTGGTACAAGATGCCTAAAGTGTGCCAAATAAACATTGCCCCCAGCATTACATGATCACCATAGCCTGAACCATTCATACAAGGCAGGATAGATCATGCTTTTGTGTTGTTTATGTCTAATTCTGATCCTACCGTCCAAATGTTACAATAGAAATCGAGACCCATCAGGCATTTTACATGAAATAAAAATGTTGAAGATAATGTCCCTAGTTTAAGAAAGCTGTTGAGCATTTGGTTCTTGAACATGGATCACCACATCACAGTGGGTGCTCTCTTCCGTTAAGTTGTTTTTATTATAAAACATACAAATGAATCAAATAAAACATGACTGACTTCCTTTCCCTTTTGCTGTTTAGATTGCCCATACCAAAACTGGAGGATACTATCAGGAGATATTTGGCTGCCCAGAAGCCTCTTTTGGATGATGACCAGTTCAGGTGAGTTTCCACAAGTTAAATCAAACTTTTTATTTGATTATTTAAGTGCTTTAAACCTAGTTGGAGCCATTGTTGTCATGTATCTGCAGAACAACAGAGAAACTTGCTCAGGATTTCCAGAATGGTGCGGGAAAGCAGTTGCATGAGGAACTGGTTGCTCAGGATAAAAACAATAAGCACACAAGCTACATCTCAGGTAACTATGACTAGCCTAAAACTGAGCATCTAAGATGGAATAATCACTGTTAAATGAGGTTAAAAATTTTCTTTTGTGTCACAGCTCCCTGGTTTGATATGTATCTGTCTTCACGTGACTCTGTGGTGCTCAACTTCAACCCTTTCATGTCCTTCAATCCCGACCCAAAGATTGAGTACAATGACCAGCTGTTGCGGGCGACCAACATGGTGTGTTCAGCTGTGCGCTTCATGAAAACGCTACGAGCCGGTCTGCTGGAGCCAGAGGTTTTCCATCTGAACCCAGTCAAAAGCGACACGGACAGTTTCAAGAACTTTATCCGCTGGGTCCCATCTTCACTGTCCTGGTATGGGGCCTACATGGTGAATGCATACCCTTTGGACATGTCTCAGTACTTCCGCCTCTTTAACTCAACTCGGATTCCTAAGCATGGGCGAGATGAGCTCTTTACTGATGAGAAAGGGCGACACCTTTTGGTTATGAGGAAAGGAAACATGTACGTGTTTGACATAATAGACAGGGATGGGAATTTAGTGAAGCCTGCAGAGATCCAGTCCCACTTGAAGTACATTTTGTCTGACTCGACACCGGCACCAGCCTTCCCTTTGAGTGTTCTGACCAGTGAGAACAGGGACGTGTGGGCAGGGCTCAGGGACAAGCTGATTGGTGCTGGAAACGCAGAGGATTTACGGGTCGTGGACAGCGCCCTTTTCTGTCTCTGCCTGGATGACGAGAGCATGCGGGACCATATTCACATCTCCCACAACATGCTGCACGGCAACGGCTGTAACCGCTGGTACGACAAGTCCTTCAGCCTCATTGTAACCAAAGACGGACAGGCAGCTATTAACTTTGAACATTCCTGGGGTGACGGCGTCGCTGTGCTTCGCTTCCAGAACGAGGTCTTTAAGGACACCACCGAGAAGCCACTGGTGCACCCAGGTTCGGCTGCTGCTGCTGTGGATTCGGCCTCTGCTGTGCGCAGATTGCAATTCAAGCTGAACAAGGAGCTGGAGAATGGCATCCAAAAGGCAAAGGAGAATATTGACTCTGCCGTATCAAAACTCACAATTGACGCCATGGAGTTCAAAAGAGGCGGGAAGGAACAGTTAAAGAAGAACAGGCTGAGTCCAGATGCTATAGCCCAGCTGGCTTTCCAGATGGGCTTTCTGAGGCAGTACGGACAGACTGTAGCCACGTACGAGTCGTGTAGCACTGCAGCTTTCAAGCATGGCCGCACAGAGACCATCCGACCAGCGACTGTACAAACCAAAAAGTGCTCACATGCCTTCGTTCAACAGCCTGGCAAACACAGTGTGGCGGAGCTGCAGGCCATGCTCGATGAATGCTCCAAATATCATGGGCAGCTCACCAAGGAGGCAGCTATGGGTGCGTATCAGCATGCAGATAAATTATGGTGATTTTGTACACCAGTAAACGCAGTGTTTTAAACTGCAGATATCTCTGATGGTAATTATCTGTCATAGCAACAACACATCATAACAGGCCAAAGCAGTAGTTTATCTGAGCTAAATATTTAAACCATAAAACGCTATAACCATGTTTAAACATTTCACAGCCCTCCCAAGATGATTTAATCAGAACCAAAGGAAAAAAAACACCTTTAGTTTGTTTCTTTGTCCTCCTGCACCATCAGGAGTTGAGCAATCGATCTTTGCACACAGACATTATTTATTTTAGTGCTCTAAAAGTTCTTATCTGTACCAAATATTATGTAATCATCATGTTGCTGTGTGTTTAGGATTTGTGCACTTGTAATGCTTTAAAAAAAAAAAAGTATATTTCTCAACAATAGCATCTCATTTACAGTTTAAAAAGTTGAATTTGCTGTAATATTTAATAAACAGGTTGCCAAGTAATCACCTAGTAATGGGCTAAAATGACCCATTTTTATTAGCTGAACATCATCTAAGTGACCATGTGATTAAGTACATAATTTTGCCCACACATTGAAAAGGCCAAGCAATACTGTAGCATGGCCATGTAATAGTTAAAAATATAGCAGCATATGTTAAAAGTGTAAATCTTTTTTACATATTCAGGGAGAAACAAACACATAAAAGTGTATGGTCTTAAAAACACAATATATGATTGTCACTTACTTTTTTAGATTCATTCATTTAAATTTAATGATACTTACGTAATTTTTTTGGCCTTTATGACTTGGGCTCTCTCTCAGAGCTCAAAGTCTGACATATGCAGATATCTGATTTACAAAAACTGGGAATCTGTTTTAGTATTTTTCTACTAAATGGATGAGCAAATATGTTTTGATATTAGCTTATTAGACATAGAGGGGCATGGTCTGCAATATGAAATTTTAGGTTTTTTACAGTAATGCAAGCAAGGTAAAGTCATAAGTCTTATTCACCATAATGTGTGACTTTATTAAAGTTGAATTATTTTCTTGAATGCACTGTTCGATATAAAAAAACTGAAGTGTTAAGATAATGACTGATTAGCACTTTTTATTACACACAATGCTGACCTGAGAACAGTTCCTTCACTAACTGCTCTTTTTGCATCTCTCTCCAGGTCAGGGTTTTGACCGTCACCTGTTCGCGATGCGATACCTGGCCGCCTCAAAGGGCCAAGCTCTGCCCAGTCTGTACACTGACCCAGCTTACGCCGCCATCAACCATAACATCCTCTCTACTAGCACCCTCACCAGTCCAGCTGTCAGTCTTGGCGGCTTTGCCCCTGTGGTACCTGATGGTTTTGGTGTCGGCTACGGCATCCACGACAATTGGATCGGTTGCAACGTATCTAGTTACCCGGCTCGCAACGTCCATGAGTTCCTGCAGTGCGTCCACAAGTCTTTAGAGGACATTTTCACAGTGCTGGATGGAAAGCCACTGAGCTAAGAGTGAACAGGTGTACTTTTACATATTGATAAAGGTAAGAGTCGGAAGGAAATGCAGGGAGAATAGAAAGGATGTTGAAAACTGATGGGCAGCTCTTTAAAAACAAAGTTTGCTCTGTCGTCCCTTAGTTATTTAAACGTATCATAACAATTGTTCGGTCATGAATAGAACTGCTGGTGTGCGGCAAAAATCATAACCAGTTATTTTGGTAAAACTTGATATTCTAACATTTTGGTGAAAAATATCCAACTGTAATGAAAAAATATCAGCAACTTCATCTATAACACTACAAAATGAGGAATCAAAGCAAAATCAAGTGTAGCAAAATACATTCTTTTCATATTCACTTTCAAGCCCTGAAAACGATAAAAAAAAATTTATTTACCTTCATTGAAAATTTGCTCATGTTTGACTTCCTCAGCCCAGTCATTCCAAATTGCCATTCAGACATTTGTGCCCAACTCTTACATACATGCTGACGTTAGTGTGCTGTGGCCTAATGTTACTGTTAGCTGTGATTTAAGTTTGTTCAGCCATCCATCCTCATCAGGGGGAGGGAGTCTATACCAGCTACCATGGGGCAAGAGGCAGGGTACATACTGGACAGGTCACCAGTTTTTCGCAGGGCTAACACATAAGAACAGACAACCGTTTGCACTCACATGGGCAATTTGGAATTATCAATTAACATAACCCCACTAACTGCATATCTTTGGACTGTGGGAGGAAGCCAGAGTACCTGGAGAGAACCCACGCAAACACGTGAAGAACATGCAGAGGGGCCTTTGCATGTTCTCCAAACTCAACACCTTGCTGTGAGGCAACAGTTTAAATATAATCCTGCCCCTACGCAATTTGTGGTTTCTCAAGGAGGGTCTCCACATTAAACTTTTTTCTTAAATGGAAGTGAAATACGAAGCAAATTTCCACTAATTAACGGCCATGATACACGTAATGCATATATAATATAGCTATCTTACAGTGTTATGAAGTGACACAGAGGCCAATTGAGTTACTGCTTATGTCAGAGAAATGAGGGAATCGTTACTCTGTAAAAGGCCCTTCAGAAGGGGGTAGGGAGTGGGTTGAACTTGGAGCTCTGACTCTAGTTGGTCATTCATGCAGTTAAAGTTCTCTGCAATAGTTGCCAGTCAGGATGCAGAGGATGTGCCTTTTTGAATGATGTGAAGCTCAACCAGAGCATTTACAAATCACCACTGTAATACACTGAACTGTCATTAGTGTTAGATTACAGCCATTTGTTGTGCTTGAATGTATTGAAATTAAAAGTTAATTACCTCTGCTCTTATTTGCCCTTGTGATTCTTCACAGACAGCTGATCATTTAAGACAACAACACATATTCTTTAACCAAATCTCTCTTTATTTAAAATAAAAAATAGTTCCACCAAAAGCAAATGTACAAATGCGGTAGTACAACAGAAACATCAGCTAAAGTAATTAAAATGAGCAAAATCCAGATTTTAGATGGGCTTGATCTTGAAGTGTAGGCCGATCAGACTGAAAACGAGACATTTCAGATCTTGCACCAGGTAGTAGAACACACGAAGGCCCTCAGGGTCCCTGAAAACACATGTGCTTACATCAGTAACAAATACAATTTACTTTCCACTTCCCAACTCCTGGATATATTACTTACTTTGACTGATTGACGTCAATCAAGGAGCCAATTTTGGAAGTTGTGAATGAAATGTGCTCGTCCCCGATGACAATTTCGAGTTCCTGTAAAAGATGAGACAAAAAACAGGCCTCAGAAAATTATCTTGGGAGAAAATCATCACTGCAGAGTTGATGAAGGTGAAAATTTAGGCCACTTTCTTTCATAAGTACAAAAGTTTAGGTCATTTTCATAGTGCTCTCAACTTTATTCTTCTTTCTCCACTATGATCTTATTGGTCACAGAAAAATCCATTTGGTTGACCTTCTGTCCGCACAGGTTTGAATTAAAGGATGAACTGCAGTTGACTGCTCACTTTTAAGGAAAGTAGCCAAAGACCTTATCAAACTGGGACATTTCTTCCACCTTCCGTCTTATTAACTGCATGCTCAATTTGCAAAGGGTGAGAAAAACTAAGAGTATGAATATATTAGAAAATGATTCTTTCATAGAAGGAAATCACCCTCAGAAGATAAGCCTGAACTTTCAAACAATAACTTGTTTTAAGCAGCCCATTTATCCCATATGATGATATGACCCTTGAGCAATCACTCCAGGTATGTACTAGGAAACAGAACAAAGATCTAGAGCAGGGGTGTCAAACTCCAGCCTCGAGGGCCGGTGTCCTGCAGGTTATAGATCTCACCCTGGGTCAACACACCTGAATCAAGTGATCAGTTCATTACCAGGCCTCTGGAGAACTTCAAGACATGTTGAGGAGGTCATTTAGCCATTTAAATCAGCTGTGTTGGATCAAGGACAAATCTAAAACCTGCAGGACACCGGCCCTCGAGGCCTGGAGTTCGACACCTGTGATCTAGAGTATGAATGACTGGCTAAATGTTTATCGGTTTTGCTATTGGAACTATAACATATTCCAGGATATTCCAGGATAAGTTAAAAAAAACTGCCAAATTTATTCACACCACTATTTAGGGCTTGTAAATCATAAAATATTCAGATTGTGAAAGTATAACTTTGCATGGAGATATTAAACAAAGTGCAATTAAAGTATCAGCAAAATCCAACTGATGCTGTAGGGTCATCAGGTCAGATTTTTCTTTTCCACACGTGTAAACAATAAGCCTCAGTATAACCATGAGGTCTAAGCATACCCAACCCAAACCAGTTCACTACTGGATAAACTTAGTGTGGTTTGGGTGAGGAAGCTGCCTGGATACAGCATGCAAAAGGCAGGATTGAGGATCACCACTCTCAGCGAAGGTACCAGAATATTTTCACAACAGCACACAGACTGTACTTGCAATGTGGAATAGTTAAAGACCGCCTTGGACAGTTGCCTATTGCAACGTACCTCAAAAAATCTGCATGGCATGAATGAAAATAGCTGAAACTGCAATAACTGGGAGGACACGGGGTAATAAAGAGGTCACAAACCTGTCTGCCAACTCTATCAGGAGGCGGCCACAGAGCATCATCTTCCTTGGTGATTTCACTGTCGTCAATGATCCTCTTCAGCTCCTCCATCACACTTTTGTGAACATATGCCTGGTTGGCACACCGGAAAACGCATAAGTCAGATTTAAATTTGTACATTTCGAGAAACGGCATTAATTTATAACCACATGCATGTTGTTTGAGCAAACTACTTCTCGAAAAATAACCAAACAACCAGCTCTTACTTTACAGATATCTCACCACCCCTTACACATACATTTAAAATCAATCATACGTTACCTCTTTCCTGATCATTACGTCATTCTTGTAGTTACTGTTGTTTGCATATCTCAGTTTACCTGCGGGGGAAAAAGATTAACTTTAACGTGGGAAACTGTATCGTTTCGAACAAAACGCCCGAGTTTGTTATCAATCGCTACAGGCCGCATGGCGCGTACGCACTCACAGAATGAACTCAAAACATTACTGCTTATATTCTAAACCACACGCTATGGTAATAATAATATTATTTATATATAAACAAAGTTAGTAATCAGCATTACTCCTGCAGCTAAATCCAAACGGAGAATTTGGCTCTTTGACTCCGCTGCGGCCTAGCTGAACCGGTTAGCTTCGAACCACGGACAGCTAACGCGTCTGTATTACCGCTCAAATTACACTTACCGTCAGGCCTGAACTCAAATTCTAGAAACTCGTGTCCAAACTTCCCCTTGTGCCCGACATAATATCTCAAATAAAAGTCGCTTGTTGACATCTTTATTCTACAGAAAGCGTTTTCTGCGTAAGTCTGACGAACAAAACTGAGCTAGCAAGACCAGCCCAGAGCCTCGCCAACCGTATACGCATGCGCAGAGGATTGCATATGAGAAGCTTTTTTGACCAAAGTTTGTCTTAAAGGTCATATTCCCGCGATAATTCAGTCATTTTTTTACTTTAAGAATTTAGACTTAGGGTTTCTTTTTTTTTTTTTTTAAGTTTGTGTCATTTTTTTTAAGTTAACTAGCAACTTTTTTTCTTTTATGCCTTTAGTTCAGAAGTATAAAAAACATTTTATTTTTTATTCATTTAGTCACCTATTTTTGGAATAAAACTCCATTAATAAATACAATTTCTGGCTTCCTCTTGGGGTATGTATAAATCTGACAACACCCAAGAATGTGCTTTTTAAGACGCCAAACCATAATCCTCAACAACTTCTACAGATGTACAGTATGGAACAATTCATTACTGAAGCACAAAATTCTCTTCTGGTCCTCTGTAAATCTTCTAAATGGCTTTGTTACATTACAAAAGAAACAGTTGAATAACTATATCAGTAATTAATTGTTAATTATTTCCAGTTTTGTTCATTTGTTTGCTTGATTTTACTTAAGCCATCAATTCATGGTTGGTGTTTCTGCATTCATTTATCATCAGGTTCTTCCTGAAAGAACTCACGCAGGGCTGAACTTATTCTACGTCTTTATACGTTGTCGCATTTTTCTAACGTCATCAACCCGCTCTGGCGCACAGGAAGAGTCTGCACGTGTGGTGGTTGTAAACTTTGAGCCATGGCAGGCGCGTTTTCACAGGAGCTTGAGGATCTGTTGAATCCTTTGCCAAAATTCGTGGATCCGGAGGATGATGATGACGAGGCAACCAAAGCCAGAGTGGTGGACCGGTTCAATGAAGACGACAATGAGGATGAAGATGCGGCCGGCCTCAGCGCTCTGCGGAAGCGCAACACCTCCCTGCTTTCGGACACAGATAGACGGTATGTGGGAAAGCCAGTGTCCCGAAAGCAGCTGCTAAGGGAGACTGAGGAGGATGAACATGATGTCGAGGATGAGGAGGAGGAAGAGGAAGAAGGTGACGAAGATGATTCAGTGGGGGATGAAGAGGCAGATGACGATGAAAATGCTTCAGAGGAGGAGGACGACGACGATGATGATGAGGAAGAGTTGTTGATGGGCAGTGATTCAGAACTCGATGTTAAACTAGCTTTAAAGAAGAAAGCAACTGACATCATCTTTCCTCAGAAAGTAGACTTCCACAAACTGACAGAAGGTATGGATGACCTGGGAATGAGCGAGGATGATGATGAAAGCCGTGAGGAGTCTGAAGGCAGTGAAGAAGAGGAAGGCTCTGGTGATGATGATGATGATGAGATGGAAAGTGAGCAAGAGGATGATGATGATGGAGTGGTGCGCACGTTTTCTCAGGACAAAGTAGATGAGGAGGTGGAGAAAGGAAAGGTGGTGCAGAACCAGCTGGCCCTGTGGGACCAGCTGCTCGAGGGCCGGATAAAAATCCAGAAAGCTTTGGTGACTGCCAACCAGCTTCCTCAGCCACAGACTTTTCCAGAGTTCAAGAGGAGAGGTGGGGGGGAGTTCACAGCGGCGTTGAAGAACACTCACAAGGCTCTGAAGGCTCTTCAGAGGTCCCTGCTGGAGTTGCACGACCAACTTCTGCACCAGAACGCTGACACGAGATCCATCGACACGGGGGAAGACGAGGAGATAACCAGCGACGATGAAAATGAGGGATCAGCGCAGCAGGCCAGAGCGCCCAAACGAAAACTGGAGATGGCAGAGTACCCGGACTTCATGGCCAAACGGTTTGCAGCTTTCCAGCCTTACTGCAATGCCACGCTGCAGAAGTGGCACGACAAAACAAGGCTGACGATGGGCAAGAGCACCAAAGGGTTTGGGGCGTTCGAGAGGAATATTCTCACCCAGGTGGAGCAGGTGCTGATGGACAAGGACAGGCTGTTGAAGCGGACCCAGACCCAGCGCTCAGAGTACCGGGTCCTGGGGAAGGTGGAAGCCCCTGCTCTCACATCTGAGAACATCCCCATGGAGGGAGGCGAGGTGTCGGAGCAACAGCTGAAGTCCAACACGCATCTGAAAGATCTCGATGAGGACATATTTGATGACGACGATTTCTACCACCAGCTGCTGAGGGAGCTGATCGAGCGTAAGACGAGCGCAGCGGACCCCAACGATCAGGTGGCTATGGGCCGGCAGTGGCTGGCCATCCAGAAGCTGCGCAGCAAAATCAAGAAGAAAGTAGACACTAAAGCCAGCAAGGGGCGCAAAGTCCGGTTCCACATCCACAGCAAACTGGTCAATTTCATGGCGCCGATTGACCACAGCTCGATGAGCGACGAGGCCCGCAGCGAACTCTACCGAAGCCTGTTTGGTCAAAACACTTCTGTGAGGGAGTGACATTAACATGCTGAGATTCACAGGACTGAATAGCCATTCTCCTTTAGCAGGAACTCTTCAGACTGTCTTACATACTGAACTCAAAAGAACGTGCAGTTCTTTAGAAATGTCTTTCACACCAAAGTGCTTCTTTATTTAATCACAAGAGTGCTACTTTAAAAATTCACACTGTTTTTCCATCACACGTGAATGAAGTAAAGTGATTACTTGAACTCATTGTATGACTTTATTTAAGTAAAGAACTGTGGCCAGTCCCATGCAGCCAGTTCATGGAATGTTCCTGCTCCAGTTTTGTTTGTCTTTTGTTATTTGCTTTTATTTTTTGCTTTTCCAGTGTAAAAAAAATCCAGAAAACCTGCTTAGTGTATACTGTTGATTTGGGGCACAGCCGGGAATATGTGAAACATTACATATGTTGCAGGGCTACATTAGCCTGGACTGAGATCATAAAGAAAATGAATTTTCATGTTTAACTATTAGGTAGTAGTAAAATTAATTTTAGATACGTTATTACAAATACACATTTAAACACTGACAGAAAAGTTTTCTCAATTGTTTGAATACATGGCAGCATTCAAAGCAGATATTGTGATTTGGAAAATGTAAAAAAAAAAAACAACGTTGAGTCCTGTGATACACTGGACACCTCTCCATGTACCCCACCCTCTGCTCTATTACAGCCCCGATGAACTTCTGCCTTCCCATGATGCTAAGTTGGATATGAAGTTAAGAAAAATGCACCAGTTTAACATCTATGGTTTACACTAACAGAAAAAGAAAGCTGTTTTCTGTTAACTCACTGTTTTTAACCGTTTTCACATGGAAGTTATCACCGCTACAGGATGAGCCTGGTGTCAAAATGCAGGTAAAAATGATGAGTTGTTTTAACCAGTTAACCCTTTAAAGTTTACCAAAATAATCCTTTTCAGTTTTGGTCCAGTGAATCAGAAAACAGAAATTTTAAGTATTGAAACTACGATGTATGACATGATATTGATGCTCTTGGTTGTAGGAAAAAGTATTGTGATTTGAGCTTCAGCTTAAATGTGTCTATCAGCCCTTAAAGTGCTGTGTTTATAAAGTTAAGACATGAGGGGTTTTATTTGCAAATAAAATACATTTGTGATTTAAATTCAGATGTTTTGTTTGTTTTTAAGCTGAATCTTGCGAGAACTCAAACTGTTTTGTTTTTATTTTATTGTCTACCTGCAGAAGTCTCAGTACATTTTTCACCAATTACAGCATCGGAAATTGTTAAACAAACACAATCTACATGAATATCTGCTGACGTACACACAGCATGCCTCACTCAATTCAAGCGTGCATGTACCTACCACAACCGCATGTCTGATTTAATGTGCAGTGCTTCCAGTTGTCTGTTAAGCAGATTATGAATGGTCACTGCAGGTCTGTACTTGCTAAAGTGTGCCTGTGTCATGCCTTTTTATTGTAATGTTTTGCATTTTCTCCTTTGGGAGACAATCTTACACAAGTCACAGAAGGCAATTTCAATATCGAGCTTCAAAACAGTGCTGAGTCAGAACGGCATGCGCTCAGTGCCGGCAGCTGCTGCTGGTGTAGGAGTTCCCTTTAGCATTATTATTTCACTCATGATTAACAACACTTTAACGCTGGGTTGATCTGACACAAGCCAACATCATTTTACCGTGACACCTCTTCCATTTGGAGCATATGCTCGTACCCCAGAGCACACCCACTGTTAATGCTGGCTGCACACCATTCAGTATGGAGTCAACCTACAAGACTCAGCTGTGAGGAAAACAATCCATTTAAGGTTCACATTTTACTTGCAAAAAAACTTTTAAGGGCTCTTTGGGGCATTTTATCACAACGCAGACACAAAATGCCACTCCATATCTTTGCTGCCTCTACAGCACTAAGCAGTGTGTGGCACTTCTCTCTCAATTTGTGACATCAAGAATAACGCAACACAGAACGGTCTTCATTAAAGAAGCTTTTTAAGGTGAAAATAACAGTACCTGAGCAGTCAAACATACAGAAAAGAAACATCATCATATTAAATCAATCTCCTTTTAGAGTTCAGTCCATCTTCTTTTAATGAAAACATCTTAACATGCATCTGACAGTTACAAGGAAAAATTATACTTTGTGGTAATTTCTTAAAATGATAAATTTTCCTGATTTCTTAATATTAAATGGGTAACAGCAAAATTAAACTCCATATTTAGTCCACAAAAACCATCTTTGGCGGTGATGTAGTACATCGGGTGTTTGAGGCATAAATTGGTTGTTTGAGCTGAGCTTTTTGTTTAATTATTTTTAAACAGATCTTGAAAAAGAAAAATGTTAGTTTGCACCGGTACAGGGAATCAGCAGCATGTCACTTCACTTCATTTATTGGATTGTTAAAGGCTGTCGAGTGTGTGAATCTTTTTGCAGACAGTTTCTCCAGCTCAGTGCTGGATTAAAGGCAAGCAGCAGTTTGAAATGAAATTAAAAGTGAGTGCCTTTTTTCACTCCTCCCTCGATCAGTGTCATCCAGTACACAAGTTAAAGAGAAAATTTTAACTGAATACCTCTGCTGCGAACCAGCTCCACAAAGCCTCCTTTCATTTGAATAAGTCTAAGCAGAATCGCACCAAAAGGAGGCTTTTTGAATTCCCGGAAGTTATGCTGCCTTGCTGCAGTAGCCATGACGAAGAGCAGCACACTCAGGCAAACCATTCTCCTCTTCCCTGAAGGAGTGATGAGCTTCAGTGGGGCCGACTGCTCGACTCTATGTTCGGCTGCTTCTTCTCCGTCCCATAACCGCTGAACCACCCGTTCATCCGTTTGGTCAAACCGCCGTTCAGAATGTCCTGGATGTGCTGAACGATGAGATTTATTGCAACTGCGTTGAAAGACAGATGTTTCATGGTTACAGATGGTCTCAGTTTCTAACTCTGTTTTACTGAGAGATACAAACTCATCATCCAAAAAAAGTTAATACCCCCAAAACTTACAGCTCATCTTTAATCATCAAAGGTCTAAGCTATTTTACAGAATAAAACGGCACAAAATAATGAAAAAAATATATATATGTAATTGTCTCTTTGTTTACCATAGCTACACTATTTCGCTTCTTTGGCAGATATTATAAATTGTATATTTAAAAAAAAATATTAAATGAATTGTACAGCCCATATTATATAGAAATCTTGGTTTGTTACTTTATACAAAAACACATTTTTATTTTTTTTGTGACACTTGTAAGAATACATTTTAAAACTTAAGGTACGTTTGGGTTAATTACACTCACTGGCCACTTTATTAAGCACACCTGTCCAGTTGCTTGTTAACACAAATATCTACTTAGGTAATCACACAACAGCAACAACACATTTAGACATGGAGACAAGGCAACATGCTGAAATATAACCAGGGGTCAGAACGGGGAAGAAAGGTGATTTATGTGGTTGTTCGTCCCAGACAGGCTGGTTCGAGTATTTCAGAAATTGCTGATCTACTGGGATTTTCCTAAGCAGCCATCTGTACGGTTTACAGAAAAAGGCGAAAATACTGATGGCCCTGAGTGCCACGCATGTGAGCAGGAAAGCACAGGGCCACCAAAAATTGGACAATAGATCGGAAAAACGCTGCCTGGAATAAAGTCATCACAGTAAGCCCGTTGTTCCATTCTTTGTACGTCAATGCTTCTGTTCCAAGCCAGACCTAAACAAATATTATGTGTAGAAAATTAGACTACTGATCAATTTTTAAAAAGCCACAGCGGCACATATACATATAAAACCTGACCAAGAAGCAATCAAGGGGAAATGGTCGGAGCAGGTGTGTCACGACAAAGTCTTCAGAGAGCAGTGCAGTTTTCTTTTACAGCTTTCCTAAAACTAGACAAAGCTGTTTTGTCCTCACCTTGCTTCCTGAGTATGAAGACCACAATTCCCAGCAAGGAGATAAACACAGCTGCGTCCTTGCTGATAAACACTGTTGAGTCTCCAAAATTTGCTTCCACTAGATTTGTTTTTCTAAATAATCCGTAATGTAGTCTTTATGATGCACTTCCCAGGCAGACCCGCCCCCAGAACAACCAAAAAACTACTTACCAATGTTGTCAACTCCTCTCGGTATTATCACATCAGCATATTTCTTTGTCTAAACAAAGTCGAAAAGAAAAAAGAGCAAACATTTTATCTTTGACTCCATGTTCAGGGACAATGTGCAAATGTGCTAACAGAATATGGACTCACCGGCAGACAAAACTCTTCAAAAGCAGGCTTGACAAAGGTGATGTATTGGGCTAGAACGCTTTCCAAATCCCGACCACGTTCACTGATGTCACGGAGCACTGAAGGAAAACGAGACAAGGGAGAAAATGTTTAAATTGCATAAAGTATTTTAACACTTTTGTATGATTTCTTCCTTTTTTCTATTAAGAAAAGTGAAAAAAAGAAAAGAAAATGAGTTAATTACTGAGTTGATCTATTGGTAGGCAGTTTAGCTACCTATAAGCAGACCCACTGTGTTTTCCCAGCTTCTAGTTTAGAGGTTAAGCCAAGAAACTGCTGTATGGTAGCAATTTTAACAGGAAAACAGAAAAGCTTGTTTCCTAAGATGCCAAACTAGCTTTAATTTTCAGGAGCACTTCTTTGCAGCCCCCCTGTACCACAGGACCTCATTTTAAAAACAACTAATTCAATGAACTGTTACATTCACCCCCCGCCCCGTGCTTATAAACATAACAGATTTGTCTCGCCATGCGTCACCTCTCCGTGACAGACGAGTGTCTGCATCCGTATCCACGAACAGCTTCATGTGGAAAAAGTCTCGAATCTCCTGAGAGTAGAACATCAAGATGCCCTCAAACAGCACCACGTCAGCAGGGTACAATGTCATGGTCTCTTCTTTCCTGACATATATTAAAACAGAAAGAAGGTTAAACAGCATCCACTGCGGTGAAAAATGATAAGAATGGCGATTAGAGAGATTAAAAAGCTTGCGAGTTATTCGGAAAAAAGGTCTTGAATTCTATTAAAGGTGCAGCACCCCAAGAATGTACCGAACCAACATGTCTTGATGCAAATGAATTTTTTTCTTTATTTAAATTAACTTTAACAAAAATGAAATCTCAAATTTAACACAATAAAAAACTATAAATAAATAATTAACTTTTCATGCACCGTTTCACATTTGAACACTTTTACTACAAAGTGCACTCAGATTTTTCCACCTTCCAGGCAGTTATGGGCTTCCATTCATTTCACTATGATATGAAAATCAATTTGCCCACCACAGTAGACATAATGCATGTCTTATGTATTACGATGCTTCCATTGATGCTGCATCAGAGATCTCTTTGTGTAAGCTGAAACCTGCTGAAACCTCCTTTAATGTTGTGCCTGTATGAACAGTTAGTCACCTGGAATGGGAAACAAAGTCATAAACAGGAATGTGGACTGTTTTCCCCTCCTTGATGTCCCACAGGGTCGCGATTATGAGGTCATTGTCAAATGCATCTATAGAGAAGGAAAGAGCACAAGGTAGTTAAAACCAAAAGTCACATTTGGCATGAATGAACAAACAATGCTTACGTTTCAATGCTCGAGCCCCCTCTGGCCCAGTGACTCAGCATGACTCACAAATGTAGAGGCGATGTACCTGGGTGGTCAAAGTTGAACTGGCCCTTGAGCGCCTTAGCCTTCTGTTCCGGGGTCAGGGCCCTGTAGAAGCAGTCCTGGCTGAGGATGGCCACTTGCCGCTGGTGGTGGTCGATCTCGTTCTGGCCCAGCAGCTCCATGATTTTACTGCACACTGACGACTGAACACAAACAAAGAATCAGAAACAAGTGATCCTCGTTACACGATTTAACACGGCCTGATACTTTTGCACTGGAACCAACATTTACTTACACTTTACGTCCTAATCATGTAAAAACACAGCGTAGTCCATTACTGGAAATCATTGACGCCATTTCAGACAAACACTCATAACAAATAACTGCAGTTTACTCCCTGTTCAGATAACATGTCTGGGAGAACAGGTGGTTCTGTGAGCAGTTACTCCTGTGGGAAAATAGAGGCATAACACCAGGAAGTTGAAGCCACAAACAACTGCCTGTTGAACCACAACCACCTTCACCTAAGAAGTCAGCATACCGTCACCCATATGAATAATGTCAAGAGATATGCCAGTCTTGGATTAATGGAAATACAAGGCTAAATTAGTTAGCCAAACAAATCCCAACTAATTAAATGTAGGTCAAAAACTATGCTTGTATGATGAAAATGCAAAACATGTTGCTAATACAGAGAAGTGCTCCAAAACAGGGCCTCATAGCACCAATCTTCAAATACATGTTGACGATTAAATAAAAAGGACAAATGTACTTTATTTTATTTGAATGCAATTTTCCCAACTTCAGAAGCTTGTTTTATGTTCTTATATGATAGTTTTTGTGCTCCCGTGAATGACTTTTTATATCCCGAATAACTGTTAAAACTTTTACGTATCATTTCAGGTTATTTCATGGATCTGCGCTGCGTTTCTTGTTAGATGTATTGATTTATGTAAACTTGAGCCAATCAAAATATGGGACATTTTCTCAGATTTAGAATAAAAATGCTGTGCAATCCTGTCACAAACTGGAGCCCTGGTTCACCCTAGAGACTGTGTTTATTGTGGTTATCCACTTTGCAACAAAATGTGACCATAGTGCAGCATATTCTGATCATCCAAGACAGAATACTGGAAACTACTGGGAACCTATAACATGCTGCACAATACAGAATGCCCAAGCATATATTTAGTCTGTCGTGGCACCAAAGCCGTCTACATTGTCAGTGTCAAGCAGGTCAGTGAAATGAGATAAAGTTAACATCAAGCGACTTTGAAACAGCGGATACATTGTGTGACATCAGAAAATCCTTTAGAAAGCGCAATAAAAAGAATAACGTCAAAGCTGCCGCCTCCAATAGTGATAATCATGCATCCATCTGCTGCAGACAGCTCAGTGCGTTAACAGTCAGTTTTTTCAGCTTTCTTTGTCTGCAAATGCATTTTACACTCCTCGCAGCCAGCGCACCCAGCGCAGCTGATGCTAATTATGACAAACCTCAGTCCTCCTTTTCCTCTTTCCCATGATCTTCGCCACTCTTTACATCCCCTCTGATTAAAAAAGCATGAAAAACAAAATACGGGAGTCCTTCACGGAAGTTTGAAATCTGAACATCAATCTGGTTTCAATGGGGGGTGAAAATGACAGTAGTGTTGACAGTGCACGTTTTCTGATTTGACATGCAGTACTGCGGCCTGCGTAACTTTCACTACTGATCAACACAACAACCAGGCCGAGTGACTAAGTAATGATTTTAAACTAAACTTCTTTTTTCCGAGGAAGAATACGTTTCATTTCTTAGTCTTGCCCTCTTCATCCCAAACGCATAATCTAACACAACAGATAAGGAAAAAAAAAAAAAAAAAAAATCAGACGCCTCCAAGAAATAATCCAAAGGAAAAAAAGAAGAAAAGGTTTATAATATAAAAGCCAACCTTCCCGCTGGCTGTCCCTCCGGCCACACCGATGAGGAATGGCTGCCGAATATTTGAGTCATTTTCGGCTTGGTCACCTGGCTTTGTCTCGCTGTCTCCTGCCATGTTTCATCTGCAGCGCGCACCGTACCTCTACGCCGGGGGAGTGCGCGCTCCTCCCATTTGATGATGGTGTAGGCGACGGTGAAGTTGGTGGTGATGATGACGTTCGAGGGCAACAAATCGAAGATGAGGATGCTGATGATGAAATCGCTGACAGGTAGTAGCGGGTTCCTTTTTTTCTCTTTTCTTTTATAAATTTTACTTGTGCAGCAATTTAACTTAAAAACACCGACTGTTTTTATTTGAGTTAAACAGTCAGTAAGCTGACTAGTACTCTAAGCCTTGAACACGTGGATTAATCAGCACACAAAAAAAAAAAAAAATCCACAATCATTTTGATGAAACATAAACTGTTTAAAGTGTAGCGTGGTGTATGGTGGTTAGTTCTCTTGTCTCACAGCAAGAAGTTCCTGTGTTTTCCTTCAAACGATCCATCTTCTTCCCATGAAGAAGCATCCTTCGACACTTTAAAATAGGGATGTCAAACACAAGGCCCTGGGGCCAGAATTGGCCTAGCAAAGACTCAAATCTGGCCCACTGGATGGATGTCTTTAGAAAATGTGAAGGAAGTAATTAATTTTTGGACATTTAAATGATTGCTAACAAGTTTTGCAGCTTTTCCTACTGATAAGGAACTGCCCCTTGGTATACATACACCAAATTAATAGATAAAGAATTAAATAACAGAAAGGTTCAACTTTCACCATTGACTATAGAAACATATGTTTTTACACTGGATCTGCAAAAAAAGGGGCATTTTCTGTGAATTAACAGAGACTTTCTTTTTTAGCTGATGAGCTACCAGGATTGTTTTTCTGTAATTTCATACTTTTATTTCTAGCAATTTAAGCCAAAAATAGTCTTTCTTCCATTAATGAGAGCAGCATTTCTTTAGCATGCGGAAAAACTAAGTTGCACTGTTGCAATTACTCTTCTTTTTCTCACATTAAGATAGTTCTTGTTTAGTATTAAGATATTAAATGTTTATTTAAACTTATTTTCACTGACAGAAAGGTGAGTTTCACTGGTCTGGCCCTCTTAAGATCAAAGTGAGCTTGTGACCCGCTATAACAATGAGTTGAAATTCCTGCTTTAAAACCATGCACGTTGGCTAGATTAATTAGTGATTCGAAACTGACTGTAGGTGAGAATGTGAGTGTGAGTGGTTGTTTCTCTTTTTGTGTTTGTCCTGTGATTGATTGGCAATCTTACCAGGGTGAAGAAAATGGATGGATGAACAGTTTTGGGTAGTGTGATATTAGCAAACACGATTCAGATGCAAAAAAAATGAACAAGTTGGCTACAAGATGGAGGAAGGTGGAATGTTACATTTAATATTTTAGGTAAGTATGAAGAAATTTGGACAATTATGAAAAAATCTGGCAACATGGAAGGGCATCTTTATAGAAAAAAAAAACTCCAAGACTGTCCCTTAAGTACAATTTTGACCACGTGGTATGGGAATGTCCAAGAGTGTCGACTATTTTTTAAAATGGTTAAGAAAAATCTCTCTGCATTGTTACATATGTTTGTGTATGTATATGCATTTTTCTTTTCTTTCTTTTTTGTGTTTTTTGTTGGGCTCGGTCGGATGAACCGGAAGTGCTTTTTCGTGGTCTGACCTCTGTAGTAACGCTGACAGGGCTGTATGAAGCTGAAACTCAGCTCAGCGGAAGGTGGTCAGTGTTTCTCTTCTGATATAAAGTAAATACTTTTCCTCTCTACGGCCTGGAAAAAGGGACTTTGACACCATGAGTACCATGTTCGCAGACACCATTTTGATCGTCTTCATCTCAATTTGTACAGCGTTGTTAGCCGAAGGTGAGCCATAGCTGTCTGACAGGTCGAGGCGGGCGTTTTACCGTGCTCCAGAAAACACTGTTATAGCTCAGAATTTTACATTACTCCATTTATATGGTAGGGAAACGTCTTCAATGTTATTAATATTCATTAATTCGCAATTTTGTTGCTTTTGTTGACCTGTACTTTGTTAACGACTGAATACAGCTTAACGTTTGTGTCTTCCGGTTAATTTAGCAATAAAAGCCTGAACTTACGTTTGAGACGCTTTCCTCGGGGAGAATATTGACTTCCTCGCTATCTACATTAACAATTTGAAAAAGATATAAAAAATTGTTACAATTTAATTTTTAATGTTTAGTTTAGATACGGAAGTAAGACATTATTTAACCACATTTGTGTATGATTTACATTCCAGAGTAGAAGTAGAAGTCTTTTTGTTGTATTTTGTCAGCCTATTAGAGCAAGTGATGAAGAGAATAAAGAATTTAAAGATCGGTAGTCTAGAAGACATACCTGTGGCAGTATGGAGATGTTTAGAAGGGAGGGCAGTGGACTTTTTAACTACATTGTTTAACACAATCTTAGAAAGTGAGAGGATGCCTGAGGAATAGAGAAGATGTTTACTGCTACCAGTTTTCAACAACAAGCGTGATGTGGAGAGCTGTAATAACTGCAGAGAGATAGAGTTGATGAGACATGCCATTAATCTATGGGAAAGAGTTGGTAAAGCTAGTCTAAGAAGAGAACTGATCATCAGTGAGCTGTGTGGACCGTAGAGGAGATCCATGGATAGAGTGAAGGAGGAATGCAGAGGGTTGGTGTGACAGAAGAGGATGCAAAGCTTATTGGATACTGTGGCTGCAGAGATTTCTTCTGATTCAGGAAAAGGTTTCAGAAATGTGCAAAAACTTCACATATTGATCAGTGTGAACTGTTGGAAACTTCAGTGGCAGTTTTCAATGTTTTTTT